ATTTTTTGTAAGTTTGCTTTTGCATAATTATAAACAGCTTGACAGGGAAGACATCACTTTTATTTTCTTCCTTTTAATTTTTGTTTAATGGTGACTGTGCGCCAGAGAAAGGTGTTTTTGCACTAAGTCTGCAGAGCTGTAGCTCCCTTCACCTCAGAATAAATTTCGCCTGCTTTCAGCTTAAAATTTGGCATCAGGGACAGCAAACTGTTGGGTTTTTTGTTGGTTTTTTTTCTGCTTCCCTCATCATTAATAATGATGAGAAGCTCTGCATTTGGAGCTCACATCCTCCACCGAGACAAGTGACCTATTATAATCCCGATCTGCCCCAAAATTTAATGAGTTCTTTCTTTCCCCATGTTCCACCTTCCCATCAAGTTTCATTAAATTCACCATTGTGATTTGGTTATCTAACAGATAAAGAAACTGATCATCATCATGTTGCCTCAATAAAGAGGCAATATGACCACCCCATTAACTAGTCTCCTTACCTTTGAATTATTTTCATACTCATAAGCCCAGTGGATCAACTGGACCAGTTTTCTATTGTTCATGCACTGTAGTGTACTTAAAAAAAAAAGCTAATCTTTCTGAATTCATACTTAGACAAAATAGTTAAATAATGTTACAGCATTTGGCTGGAATGAAAGAGAAAAACACCACACTACAACTATTTTAGCAGCTCGTATTTTCTCTGTATTGACAATTGCATAGCTTACTCTTAGGTTCAGGGTGTACAGTCATTTGGCGAGGCGTATGTTTTATGGCGCTGCAGCCCTGGCAACCAGTCTGATAAAAAAAAAAAAAGTCCATGTAAACATCAGCTGTGTAAACAACATTTAGCTCTAAAAATAGAAGAACATGCTGAGAAGTGGACCGCTGGTGAAGTCCAGGCTTTATTTATGCTGTATGCGAATGTGAAAATGCTGACTTGCCTGACTCTTAACCTGCTACTCGGACGTTTACACAGGAACATAATGCTGAGAGAAAAGGATGAAACTGGATTAGAAGTAAAAAACAACACTGACTGCATGTGTGATGAGCTCTGCTGTGCCATCTGTGCCACATGCAGCATTTTAGCGTTTTTGTGCTACAGTGTTATAGCACTAAATATTAAATTGAACCCCCCCCTTCAGCCTGGTTGCAGCCGCTGGGATCAACAACTTTTTCTGTCTGCCTTTTCAACTTTGTTATAATCATGAACCCACAAAACACAGAGCTGAGATGACATCCTTCATCTTGTTTTTGGAGTTGTTGCTGCTCTGCCAACTGCCAACATCACATTACTGTTACATCTGGCTGCTGTAAATGCTAAGAGAGAATAAAACCCTTAAAGGTATGTGGTGAGCAGTCTTTCTCAGCGATTCCCCAGAACGAATGCATTTAATAATTAGTTTTTATTCATCTCTGGCTCTCTTCCACAGTGTGCCTTTTGCCCTGCCTCCCTCAACTTAACCCCAACCCATCAAAGCAGATGGCTGCTGGAAGTTTCTTCCTGTTAAAATTGAGTTTTTCCTTCCTACTGTTGCCAAGTGCTTCCTTGAGGAAGGTTTTCTGATTGTTGGGTTTTTTTCTGTATTATTGAAGGATCTTTACCTCACAGTATAAAGAGCCTTCAGGCAGTTGTTGTTGTGATTTTGCGCTATATAAATAACAGTGAAAATTTTAATAGAACTGTGTGGTGTTAAAGTGCCTGCTGGAAAGGCCGTGTAAAAGTAATAGTAGTCGTGTATGAATGGTGTATGTGTGTTTCCTGAGTTCTGAGTGTCAAAAGAAAATGAGAGGGTCAAAGGGAAACAAATCCACCTGTCCATATTAAAATAGCTGAATTTCAGTGGCACACCAACCCTGCAAATTTCTCATGATTTGATCTGACAAAATTGTCCCTCTCAAGGGTGCAATCATGTAGTTTTTTTTTTATTTTCCTGCAGTTAAATGTTTCTCACTCTCACTTAATCAGGACTCTTGATTACGTCTCTAATTTGTAACAGTGGAAGGGAGGAGTGCACTGAGTGTGGGGGCTTATTGCACATAATATCAGCCAGTCATTGCAGAGGATTACAGTGTCTTCAGAGAACATTTCTGTTTAACATTACTTCATTAGGCTCCCTTTGATAACCTTTCATTTCCCATTATTAGTTTTCATTTAATCCCAGCCCATGTCTAAGCTGCCGTCTATGTACGGAATGATGGCAAAAGCCTGTGGAGAGACGACTCCTCTACAAGTGTAGGTCTGTGTAATTAAGCAATAAGCCACATGAGGCCAAGCTTTATGGTGATGTTTGAACAGCTGTTATGAGATATGCTGTTAAGTAAGATTTGTTAGCTGTCCCATAAATTAAAGACGATCTGGCTTTAGGATATTTTTAAAAAAGTTTTACTTATATGGAAATCAAACCATTGTTGATTGAGTGTATACATCAGTAATTACATTTCTATAAAGAAAATATTCTTGTATGTGGGGAAGTCACCCATCCCCATGCTGGATTCTGATTGCATGCCTACAGATAAGTAATTGAAAACAATGCATCCATACATCCCAGTGTTATTGCTGTCAGTGTAATGTCATTGATAACAGCCTCACAGTTTGCAATTATCTCTCCGAGAGTCATATCAGAGTTGTATTAAAATACTACTAAATGGAGACCCAATTATTTTTCTAGCAAAACACCAGAAGCCAGAGGAAACAGAGTATTAATGCGGCACTGAGCATCCAACTTTTGGCAATTTTTACAGCTGTCTTTTGCAGTTTTTATCATTCCGAGACATAATAGACCGAGAAGAACCAGCTCCAGATGGAGGTTTGTCAGCGAAAAAACTGCCTATGGTGGAAAAAGTCCAATTAGTCCATTGTTAGTTTGTTGGCTTCATTTGACAACAAAATTCACTCCTTTGGTGTACTTCTATCCATGCAGCCTATCCAAGCAGCCACTGGGCAAGAGACAGTGCAGTTGTGTCAGGTTGCCGTTCATCACAAGTCTACCACAGAGAGACAGACAACCAGCCATGCTGGTATTCATATACTACCAGATGTAGAGCACCCAGAAAAAAACAAACAGAAAGGTCTCAGTAGTGTTCATTTTAACACTGCTATTAGACAAAGTCAAACTCAAGAAGTGATGACATGAGTGCATATAGTTACTGGTCATTGCTGCTCCAGAATCTACCGTTATGTTACGGCCGAGAGGGCCAGGCTGTGGGTGTGGACTCAAATGCAGACACAGAGGGAGGCAAAACGGGTGTGAACACAGTGCTTTATTTACAGTGCCTAGTTAATTTACAAAGCAGGAAACTATGAATGCTATGAACGGAGAATGCTATGAACTGTGGAAGCTGTGAACTGAGAACCAAGAGGTCAAACTATGAACATGAAACTCTGAGTGCTATGACTAGGTGCTAGATTTCATGGATGGATCCTGGGAATGGAAAAAGGGGCAGCGGCTTGGATGGAGGTACGCAGTCACTATAATGAGAGGAGACAAGTAGTCAGTGGCAGTCTAGTGAATCACAGCTGAAGGATTAGACTATGGTGGTTAGGGCTTACGTGTTGCAGGTTAAAGTGTCATGCGAGAAGGGGGTGTCCAAGGGGTTCCGGGTGAGGAGTGTCCAGAGAGGGTCCAGAATATACTTGGAGTGAGGGACTTGGCAGGGAAGCAGGCAGGTGTAGTCCAATGATGGAAAGGAAGCAACCAGATGACAGAACCAGCGTCCAGGCGGAGATGTGAGTAGTTTAGCTTGGGAAGTGCGACTGCCAGGTGGGTCCTATGACAAAGAAAACACGGTGAGGAGAAAAGCAGTAGTTAAGGGCTCTCACAAGGGCTTGGCGGCCTAGCACTAACGTGAGTTAGCAGAAGATCTGGCAGAGGTCTGTTGTGAATGCTGGTCTTATATGCTGGTGACTTGATTGGAACCAGGTGTGGAAGCTGATTGGAGTCTCTGCCTGAAGGTGGAGCCCAGCGGAGTGGAAAAACCCCCCGCTCACCCGGACCATGACACGTTAGGCTCTAATACTGGCTTCTTTCCAGGGGTGGGTCTTTGTTATTATCTTATTCCACACTGTTCAAGTTTAATTGCATGCTGCTGGGAATGACAACTTTGGTCACTAGAAACTGAACATTAGCTGCCCGTTACTCTGTGTACACATATTAATAAGTCTGTTCAAGCTAGATGGCTGAAATTGAGCTTTCTGCAAGGCTAGACAGACATCACACGTGTTGGGTGAAAGCTACAATTTCCTTGATACCCGATGAAGCTACCCTATTATACATTAATGGTCCAAGCTTGTCATCTTGCGTGCATGGTCTGGCATACTTGATATACAGCACTTTTATATTCTCATCTGTGGTCTCAGAAACTTATCTCATTATGGGTGCATCACAGACCATACCCATCCATTAAAGAATGACCAGAAATGGACCTTTAAATGTTTTTAAAGAAAAAAAACATAATCATGCTGTTCTTCACAACAATAAGAAGCTCATGTGTTCCCCCTCTCAGTTAATGCTTTCGCTGGAAAGCATTTAGTGTCACTTCATTATAAATGGATTATGGTTTACAGGCTGTGTGAGAGAGGATATGAAGGCTCAAAACCCAATATATCTACCACAACAAGAACTTTGCACTGCTGCCCATCTGTTTGCCAGGCAAAAACTTGAACAAGGCTTTGTTAAAGTGCTGCTGGTGGCATATATATATTTATGTCAACAATGAAATGGTCTGCTCTGTGACTTCACCAGATGAAAGCATAACATCCAGCTACACTTTCATCCGGACAACATTTTAAATTGTTGTCTAAACAAAAATCCCTGAAATTGATTTGATTTGACAAGCAGACTGTCCTCCATCTCCTCCTGGCAAATGGCAGATCTGTTTACTGCTGATAATCTTATCAGATTCAAATTTCACTCATCATCTTGTCCCTGCAAATCTTCATCTCTTTGATTGATCATTCCTGCAATATAATGAAAGCTAATCTAAACAATCATGCATTTCGCCTGCAGGGTTGAAGATCCGTGAAGTGATGATCAACGTGTCGCGTCAGCAGGTGGAGGACTTTCATGGCCCAGAGGACTACTGGTGTTTGTGTGTCGCCTGGAGTCACCTGGGAACTTCCAAGAGCCGCAAGGCAACAGTCCGGATTGCCTGTAAGCGAAACCATGTCACTTTGATACCAGCCTGACCTTACTGTGTCTGCGAAGGTTATTTGACTTTAAACCAGTAAGGGGATTATATAGAAAGCATTCATTGTACATACATAAACAGAGAAGGTCACACATGAAACAATTGTGCATATATGTTTGTTTGCTCCTTCGTGCTATTCTTCTATAAAGCAGGCTGTTTATTCTCTTGCCTAGACCTGCGGAAGAACTTTGAGCAGGACCCCCAAGGCACCGAGGTGCCTCTGAATGGCATGATTGTGTTGCATTGTCGTCCCCCAGAGGGAGTGCCTGTGGCTGAGGTGAGGGCTTTCTTGCACTTCAAACAAGTAACGTTTTCTCCTGTGTTGCTTGGAGAGAAGCCGTCATCCGTCTGCTTTACTCACAGTATAGCTCTGTTTACGTGACATGTTGTTTTGTTTCTCTCCAGCCACAGCAAATTCAGGACACATCTGTAATTTTTTCTCTTCATTTCAGTGTAAACAAGACTAATACTTGATGAGCTGACACAATTAATATATTCCTTTCACTTTTGCTATCTTTGTCTGTTTTCTGAGGGTGAGTATTTGTGTATCAGCATGTCTGATAGAGAGTACCCGTCACTGCTATTTAAATTTTTACTATGAATATAAAATGAGGCTCTCATGGACAGTCCTGCTGAGTGGTGCTTCTGTGCTGTGATGCTGCGCGCCTTCGTGTGGAAACTCAGTAGGGTGATGTGTCGATATCAAAGCCTGCGTAACCAAGCATCTGAAGCTTTGCATTTACTTAAAGGGGCAGTCTGTGATCTATGTAAACAAGATGACAGCACATTTCTAAGCACAGGACTCGAACCCTCCCATTACTCCCGAACTGATTGACGTGCCTTTGCATAAACCAACCGATACATTTTCTGATGCTAATGGATAAAGCTTTGTGGAGGTCAGTAATGTTTGCAAACACACTGACTTGTTTTTTAATCATAACTTCCGTTTGCATGTCTTCCAGCTCTATAATATGAAACAATAGAACAGTTAAGAGTTGACATTTTATTTACAGTATGCATCTATACTGGCAGGGTCACTGGCATGTATATTCCTAGCATTATACTGTATAGTATATATAACTATTTGTTTTGTTTTTGTCTTTTCTGAGCCACAGCTGTCTAATTCTCAGTTTTAGTATAGTGTAGTGTAAATAGCACTGAGATTTTGGACATACTAAAAAGAAAAGAAAATATTACATTATGTGTGATTTTGGACACAAAATGCCTCATCCCAGCAAAAAAACAAAAAACAAAACAGAAAATAGAGCAAAAACAATTCCTGTCAAAATATCCAGACTTGGCTGTTTGAACAGAGCTGTTCTTAATCTGTTTGTCCTTCTCACTCATTGTTAGTCTTGTTAAACTTAGGAGTTATCTGTCTCCATTACAGGGAGCAGCACCTTTCAGAAACAGATCCACTTAATATTAATTATTCACTAAATTATTCACTCATTCCTGTTTACAGGATTTAACTTGAGAAAATATGCTACATAGCCGGATAACATTAACTTTAATATCAGATAGTATTTGTTTGATGCATAGTTATATATGTTCTCATTAAGTAATATTTAATTGTAGAGCTTATTCATTGCTTCTGGTAGCTATGTAAAATATATAACATTAACATTACAACCAAATCACCTGTTATATTTCCACTCATAGTAATGAGTCATTCATTAATTGCTTAGAAGAACTGGTAAAAGTTCACATCAATGACAGGCCCATAACATCTGCAGTTACCACAGACCATGGGGTGTCAATTAAATGTGGATAGGCAAAGTGAGCCCCTCTCCAATGTATTCTTTTTCCACTTTGAGGGACCCAATTAAAATGAATATCAATGGAAGTGAGGGACACTGCTGATAGGGGTTAATAAATACCAGTAGGGTCCAACCATCAGCTACAGTACTATTTAATAAGGAAAGAGTCTCACTGGGATTAGAAAAATCATTTTTTATAAGTGTCCTAAGTCCAAAAAAGTAATAAGTAAAGATGACACCATGTTTTCTGATGTCTGCAGGCTTGAGGCAGCGTTTTGGTTTATAGTAAAGCAAAATGTCATCACTGATGTTATATCAGTGATTTCTGGAATGCCAAAGCAGCAAGATAGTATACGATGATGTAACTGGGGGTATTTTCAATTTTTATATTTTAAATCTTTACAAGTTATTATTTATTAACATATTTTGTATTTATTATTTAATCAGCAGACTTTTTATTCTTATTATTTTTATTTCGTCAGTTTTATCAAAGCAACTGACCACATGTATGAATTAATAAAGTCCAGTGAAATGAAATGAAAAGACCAGGGGTTAAGCACTGTCTGCCGTACTGAATATTGTTTATGGATATTTGAGAATTTGTATTGCTCAAACATTTTCTTTTGTGTGCTTCATTGTTATGTCTGTCATGTTGTGATCTGTCATATTAACAAACTGTTCTAAAGCCATTTGTTTTTTCAGAATCCAAATCGATGCTTTAGAATTCCTTAAAGGTGAAAATGGACTCCATTTCAAATTGTGTGTGTGTGTCCGTGTGTGTGTGTGTGTGTGTGATGAATGATTCAGCTCACACAAATGGAGCATCGGTGTACCACGAGTCTCCCCGATGCATTGTGGTCATCAAACTCCTCATGCATTCATTAATGTGACTCCGGCTAACAAAGAGAATGGTTATAGTAAATAATGCAGTGACAAATCCAGCTCCCTCTAGTATGACTTGCACTGAGGGAAGAAAAAAAAAAACTACTGACATCCAGAGTTGGAGATGTGGCAGTAATTTTTTTTTTCTTTTTATGACTTTAGACATTGCTGAGAGCCTTTTTTGTATCCAGCACTGTGAAGGAGAGAAGTTCAAGCTCAGCTAAAGTTTGAGTTTTAAGGAATTGAGGCCATGCAGCATGATCTGTTAAACCCTGTTTGTATTCTGAGGGATATTTATTTTGGCCATGACATTTATCTGAACGTCCATACTCCCACATTCAGCTGGAAATTAATACTTGTGATGTTGAAGAAATGTGAACAGTTAACTTTTTGGAGCTGATATTAAATGCACAGTTGACGAAATGCGGATTTAATACGCTCCAACTTTCTAGGCTGTTTTAATACATTAATGCTTTACATCTGACTGTAAAGCTTGAAATCCCTTTATGTCACTGCTCTGTTCATGATCTCAGAGGCAATGCCATCAGTGAGGGAGAGGGAACTTTATCTGCATCTTGCTGTAACTAAGCCACCCGGGAGTTTACTGGGCTGCTGTGTAGGATGTTAATGAAAACCAGAGAACGCCATATTATCTGTCCCAGCAGTGACAGAGGCAATAATCTGTGCACAATGCAAGTCAGACCACAGAGAATGGATCATAGTAAAACAGCTTAAGTCTGCTTCAGTTTATTGGTGACAAGAGTTTTAACTGGCTCTGCTTTTTAGACACAAAACAGTTACCAGCACATATTATACTCAACTGTGTTATGTTCAAGTCGTTACATTTTGCCATTGACAGAAGAAACAAAAATATTATGTCCTCACATAATATTTTTGCATAATGTGAATGTGAATATAAACAATAGGGTTTGTTTTTTTACAGTAATTACATAAACAAACACAATTGTGTCTGAGAGTCAAATTGAGTCACTTAAAATCCAGTGAACTGTTCAAGTTTGTCAGAAAAATATTATGTCCTTACATAATATTTTTGTAATTAAATGTCACTGTTTCTGAATAAAAACAATCTTGTTTTGAATTAGTAGTTATTTAGTTAAACTATTAATAGCACTTTACAGCTCGGTGATAACATGGTAAATGTGGGGTAATCTCAGAGAAAAGTCAACACTTAAGTAACAATGCAATAGTTTATTTTGATAGCAGTATGGTAACCTGCTTACAAGACAGCTGGTATTTTTCAGTGTAATATTTGGATTTAAGAAATTATCTGTCAGAGGCATTTGGAGTTTTTTTCATTTTGAGTCTTTTATTGTCCTTTCTGTTGTTTAGCTTGTGTTACAATTTCTACATCTGGCCTTGTTTCCTGCTTTATTTTGAAAGTCTTGTGTTGCTATGTTCAATGCGTTTAGTTTTGCTCTTCCTCTTTGACATCGTTATGTTGATTTGTGTCAGCTATTTCCCCATGTGTTTCCACTTTCCCTGATAACCTCCAGTGTGTATTTAGTCTGGGTGTTTTCTTTCAGTCTTTGTGAGGTTGTCTGTGTCACAGTCATAGAGTGAGATGGAGGACCCAATTGCAGACACGGAAGGAGACAGGAATAAGGTTAAACAAAAAGCGAGCCGTTTATTATGGCTGGTAAACATGAATACAAAAATCAAGCAAAGGCGAACAGGAGCGACACTAAACTGAAACCTAAACTGGGAAAACTAAACTATGAACTGTGACTAAACTGGGAAACTATGAAAACAGACATGAACACTGTTCTGCCAAGGAACATGTGAGCAACTGCGATGAGGAAAAACAAGAACAAGAAACATAAACACGACCTGAGCAGAATCATGCAATACATGGGACAGATGACAAAGACTGAAAGAAAACACACAGAATAAACACACATTGGAGGTGATCAGAGGAAGTGGAAACACGTGGGGAAACAGCTGACACAAATCAACATAATTGACATACAGGAGAAGAGCAAAACTGAACATAGCAAACAAGACTTTCAAAATGAAACAGGAAACAAGGAGAGATGTAGACATGACAACTAATAATAGCAACAGAAGAACTTAACATATCTCCAAATACAATATAAGAAATCAAAAATACAAAAATAAACTCAAAACGCTGGGTCATAGACATTATCCTAAAGGAATAAAAACTGGATTCTTTCACTTTACAGGCTGATATCAACCTAAAACCTTCAATATCACATTAAAATTCTCTAGTAAGGCTATACTATATAACAGGTATAAAAATATTGTGACTTCTCAGATATACTTGTCCTTTTCATCTATGTTTAAAACTATGAACTTAACCATGTCTTTAAAATATAAACCTCCCTTTTTCTGTTTCATTTTATGATAACATTGCCTAAAATTGGAAACACAAAGCTAAATAGTCACTTACAGTGTAATATTCATGAGTTAAGCATGAATACTGTGGCAGTTTTAAAGTACAGTGGCACCACTGGGATCTGAGATTTTAATAAAATTAAGGATGCCACATATTAAAGTAAACATCTAATACATATAATCTAATATATATGTGATGCCTGAAGGTTGTTTACATTTATTGATGAGTAAATATATGATGCTGTTGCTGCTGGGAACACAC